CCTCATGGGCCTGCCTGGGGCTCCAGACAGCAGGTCCCACACCGTGCAAGCCAGCTGCCACAGACGCAGAGGCCTCTCTATTTCTAAGAAAGTTTAGTTTGACTGAAATTTCAGACAGGTCCTCACCATAATTAGGGAACCAAGGTGTCCTGTGTCCTTGCCTACCATTCAGCAGCATGGCTGTGCAGCCATAATGAAGAGAGAGCCCCAAATGGCAGAGGACCCTCAGATCCTGAGCTGGCCCTCCATGGTCTAGCCACTGTGTCCCGCCTCTAGTCCCTTTCTTGAAAATTCCAGCTCCATTACAAGGCAAGTGGCATCTCTTGATTCTCTCTGTGGAGCAGGGCCCTTTTCCAATTCCACTAGAATGTGATGAACCCATCCTAGGGGCAGCACTGAGTGAGAAGTGGAGGACAGAGTCTTGCCCATCAAGGCTTACAGTCTGGGTAGCAAGAAAGGCAACAGGCAACTTTCAGCAACAACACATCACACTCTCGAGCATGTGATGGGGCCCAGTTGTAGGGTATTCACTGTTTAGGAATGAACGAAATGGCTTTGGGCCATTTGGCATCATGGCCATGGGATACTAAAGGAAGCTGGCCAGCAGCTCCTGCTACCCCAGAATTCTCTCTCGAAGCATCCCAGAGCTCTTCAGACAGGGGAGACCCTCACATGGCCCAGAAACCAGCCCCCTCTGCCTTTTCTCCCTGAGTTAGGCCCGACCAGCAAAAAGGCCCAGAACAACTGCCTTGCGGCCTGCCTTGCAGAGGGTAGAGCACACACTCCCTAGGACAGAAGGGCTGGTGGAACCCAGCATCAGTGAAGTAAGGAGGAACCTAGAACGCTGACCTACTACCTCCCTGCCCAGCTACCACAAGGTCAGGGGTGTGGGACTCAAAAAGATACTCACCAACTGGAAACAGCTGTCATCTGTGAGTTCTTCCCCAGAATGGGCCGTGGTGTTGCCTGCCTGTCTCGCTCCCCTTCCCTACTCTCACTCTCTCTCCCAAGCACATATTTGGGTAAGTGACTCTGCTAATCCCGTCCAGGCAGAATAATTCCGGCTGGCCTGGGGCCTGGAGCTGTGTGGGTGTGTGCAGAAGAACTGTGTGACCATCTCAGGCTGCAGGCCGATAGTGCCGCAGCCAGCTCGCTACAAAACAGAGATGAAGCCTGTGCGAGTGGCGGTGTGCATTACAGCACATCAGGGGGATGCGCTCCTCCTAAGCTTCTCAAAAGAGCTCTGAGCAGTAACCTCATCATGGGAACATCCAGGAGGCTACCCAGCCACCCTAACCACAGACCAACGACATCAGAGAGTCAACATGTTCTAGGACTTGCATACATGGAGCCACGAGGTGACTCTGTGTCGTGAGTGGCCAGTGCACGAAGAGACCGTAGAGTTGGGGCACTGGACTGACATATTTTATACCAACATGTGCAAACTCTGAACTAGTATGTATTGCACAACAGGTGAGTGTCAGAGAGCAGTGGGGCAAAGAAGGGGAGGGGACCCCGGGTGACTTAGAGAAATGGACGGAGGTTTGTGACCTGAGTATTGGGAGGACCTGGGGTCCGAGGGGGCCCGGGGTGAGGGCCGGGGTGGGACCGGGGTAGTGCTGGCCGTTGGGGTGTGGCGTTGCGTGGGAATGCACTGAGAAACACAGCCCGGCTTCCCTTTCCCGCGTACGTGCCGCAGAGGTGGTGCGCACAGTAGAGGCCTGCGGCAGACTCGGCGCTTCGCCTCCCTGGGACGGTTCGGAGCCCGCCAGGAAAGGGGGCCGCGGGACTTGGTTCGGGCTGCCGGCCGCGCTGGGAGAGCGGAGCCGCGGGTCAGGGCTGCCTGCCTCCGGGCCGTGGGCCGCTCCCCTGGCGAGGCCCGACCGCCGGCAGGAGAAGCTGCTCCCTCCATCCGAGACAAGTGCCGACTGGCGTCGGAGGCAGGGGGCTGGTGCGAGGCCTTGGCCGCGCTGCAGAGGAGGCCACGCTCCGTCGGTGGGTCTCCGTCTGGCCCGGGCTCCATGGCAGACGCTCCGGCCGGGAGGCGCCGGAGCTGCAGCCGAGGGCCGCGAAACAGGGCGGTAGAGGCTGGGAGCTCCGCCCGGTGTTTGGAAGTGGGCACCACCCGCGGTCACTGAGTCGGGGCCCTGCGTCGGGAGGCGCCGGGGGGAGAGGGAGACAGCCGTGGAGTCCCACACCCACCTCGGAGCCGTCTGCCCTGCCAGAAGGGACCGTGACCTCCTCGGCAAGCCGGACCTCCCCAGCCTGCCCAGGAAGGTTGAGAAGTAAACTAAGGCGCGCCCCACCGCTTCCTGGAGAGATCAATACCTGGGGAGAGCACCCCTCTTTTTTCACCCAGAGAAATCCTTCAGAAGCTCTCCTTCCTTTACCGCCCGCCCTCCGCCCCCCACTTACTCACTCTCTCTCTCTCTCTCTCTCTCTCTCACACACACACACACACACACACACACACACACACACACACACACACTGACTCCTTAAAAGGCTGAAAAGGGAGCCGAGTTTGGAATCCGGGGAAGTGATGACACACACAACAATGCTGTCACACCTGGCTGCTGCTGGCCAGGAGCGGAAATGCCTGCGAGGGGGAGAGAGGGACAGGGAGCCAGCCTGGGTGGTCAGAAAAAGAGAAGAGAGGGCAGCAGCCCCAGGCGGGGCCAGCCTGAGCTGTGTTTTCCCCTGGCCCTGGCTCTGGGGGACGGTGGGCACTGAAGTTCATCTGCAGCCGCCTCAACAGAATGCCCACCCAAGGCCTGGGCAGCCACAGAGTGAGGATGAAGGAAAACACCCGCACTCCTGCTCAGGACGCAGGCATGGAGGGTGTGAAGAGGCGCGGCTTTGCCCTGCTGTGCGTTGGGAGCCGTGGGAAGAAACCACCATACTGTTGTGAGATTATTTCCGATGGTAGGTGGAAGAGGGTGTTCCCTGAGATGAGTTCAGGAGACCCCTGCACCCTCTCACTGTGGTGGTGCGACCAGGCTTTTCTGCTGACCTCTCCGGACCCTCCTCACCCTCTCCTCCTTTCCTTTAACTTCACACTGCAGATCGCAGGCCTGAGTGGGAAGAAGCAGCACATGCAGGTGGGCTGTGACCACCTGGCTGTGACGTCCTCCCAGGCTGGACAGCCTGGGAGGACGAGGTGGTGACAGGCACTAGACCAACCACTCCAGACATGCCAATCACCAACACACACCTGCAGGACATCCCTTCAGTCCACCTTCCTCTACAAAGAATCCCTGCCCCCTCAGCACCACCGAGTTTGGGGCATGAGGACTCGAAACATGGGCCATCTCTCTCACACTTGGATTACAGAATTTTCCTAAGGCTGTTAACTGTTAAAAGGCATACCTGACTATTTTTTTTTTTTGCCATTGCTGATTTCCAGAGACAATGTTTGTTCACGCACATGTAACTGGGTCTCGATCAAACTTCTGCTGAAGGTAGATGATTGAGGCACCCCTCAACCCTGGAGAGAGATCTGAACAAATGCCTCGTCAGGATAGAGATTTGGAAAAGTGCCTTCCTCACAGCCTGTTTTTCTTCCTAGTCCGTGATAGAAATATATACACTGGCAGCGACGGAGGTGGGAAGAATTGAGAAAGAAAAGAAAGCAGGTAAAGGGACAGGGAAGGGAAGAATGAAGGAAGGAGGGAGCCGAGGACAGAGGAAAAATAAAGAACAGGTAATATCTCTGAGCCACATTTACTCTGATCGGTGACACACATATTACCCATCTATAAGTAGAACTGTTGCACCTCATCAATCTCACACCTTGTACACGCACAAGCACGTGTCCCTGGGCGGCTGGTACTTCAGTGACGCAAAGACAGACCGTCGCCCTGACTTCTAGATGTGCTGCCGATGCCCTTACACACACAGCCCCCCAAAGACCCGCGGCGGCGACCTTTCCGCCCCTGTCGGGGCAGGGGCAGGATGGGGGCCACTGGGCATTAAAGCACATGTCTAGCCCGTGGGTCGCCGCACGCATTCTGAGAAGGGGTCTGGTCCCTAGGTCCAGAGCAGCCGAAGGAAGGGCGGAGGGCTTCGGGCGGAGCCCCTGGACGCCTCTGCCCTGCGATCCCCTCCCTCGCCCCAACCCGGCCCAGTTACACTGCGAGCTGAGCTCGAGGAGCAGGCCAAGCCGAGGTTTCTTCCTGCAGGGACACGTGTTTCTGGGCTGATTTTTCCCAAAGCCACTGCGCAGCTCTCTCCACCCCACCCCCGTCCAGCCCCCTCGCGGTCCCGCCCCTCCCCCAGCTCTGAGCTAGGAGTTTAGTCCCAAGATAGCAGCAAAGGGCAGAGCAAAGGAGTCGTTTTTCTTTCACCTGAAAGCCGCGAGGAGACTTGGCGCGCCTCTCCTCACTAGGGCCCAAGCTCTCCGGACACGGGGTCGAGTGCGAACGGACCCGCAGAACGAACAGCGGCCGATTTCCAGGGCGTGTGAGAGCCTGAGCCGGGCTCCGCGCCGGCCCCCGAGCTCGCTGGGAGGGGGCGGCCCAGTCCGGGCCGTGCGGCGCGTCTACAAAAAGTGACTTGGAGATGAACTCGCCCGTGCGAGACCGGCCGCCCAGCTATAGGGGCGAAGGCGCCTGACGCAAGCGGAACTCGGCGGAGCCCATACGAATCAGAACAGAGCGAGGCTCCTGGCGCACTAGGGACTCCGGCGGCCGCTCAGCCAGAGACGCGGTCGTGCTTCGAAAACCGGAGCGTGGGGGAGGGGGAGAGCGCAGCGAAGAAAACCCGCCGAGGCGGGGACTGGCTTGGCGGGGAGGGGCAGCGAGGCCGGAGCCCCTTCTGTTGGGCGGACTCGCCATGGCCAGAGGCTGAGCTCTGCTCCCGCCGGCTGCTCCCCAGGGGAAGGGAAAGCAGAGTGGAGAGGAGCGGGAGGCCGCCAGCCAGCGAGCGCCGCGGCGTCGGCCGACTCCAGAAGTTTAGGACTCTGCGGACTCGTGCGCCCAGACTCCCCGCCGCGCCAGCGCCTGCCGAGGAGACCAGGGCTGCCCGGCCGCGGCGCGCCGGCTTTGTCATGATGGCCAGCTACCCGGAGCCCGAGGACGCCGCGGGGGCCCTGCTGGCCCCGGAGCCCGGCCGCGCAGCCAAGGACCCCGAGGCGCCGCCGCCGCCGAGCCCAAGCAAGAGCAGCAGTGGCGCCGGGACAGCCCCGGAGAAGCCGGACCCCGCGCAGAAGCCCCCTTACTCGTACGTGGCGCTCATCGCCATGGCGATCCGCGAGAGCGCCGAAAAGAGACTCACGCTGTCCGGCATCTACCAGTACATTATCGCCAAGTTTCCGTTCTATGAGAAGAACAAGAAGGGCTGGCAGAATAGCATCCGCCACAACCTCAGCCTCAACGAGTGCTTCATCAAAGTGCCGCGCGAGGGCGGCGGCGAGCGCAAGGGCAACTACTGGACGCTGGACCCGGCCTGCGAGGACATGTTCGAGAAGGGCAACTACCGGCGCCGCCGCCGCATGAAGCGGCCCTTCCGGCCGCCCCCCGCGCATTTCCAGCCCGGCAAGGGGCTCTTTGGGGCCGGAGGCGCCGCGGGTGGCTGCGGCGTGGCGGGCGCCGGGGCCGACGGCTACGGCTACCTGGCGCCCCCCAAGTACCTGCAGTCCGGCTTCCTCAACAACTCGTGGCCGCTCCCGCAGCCGCCCTCGCCCATGCCCTACGCCTCCTGCCAGATGGCGGCGGCGGCCGCGGCGGCCGCAGCGGCGGCGGCAGCCGCGGGCCCGGGCAGCCCGGGCGCAGCCGCGGTGGTCAAGGGGCTGGCGGGCCCAGCCGCTTCTTACGGGCCGTACTCACGCGTGCAGAGCATGGCGCTGCCAACCGGAGTAGTGAACTCCTACAACGGCCTGGGGGGCCCGCCGGCCGCGCCCCCGCCGCCGCCGCACTCCCACTCCCACCCGCACGCACATCATCTACACGCGGCCGCCGCACCCCCGCCAGTCCCGCCGCACCACGGGGCCGCGGCACCGCCCCCAGGCCAGCTCAGCCCTGCCAGCCCGGCTACCGCTGCGCCCCCGGCGCCCGCGCCCACCAACGCCCCCGGCCTGCAGTTCGCCTGCGCCCGGCAGCCCGAGCTCGCCATGATGCATTGCTCTTACTGGGACCACGACAGCAAGACCGGCGCGTTGCACTCGCGCCTGGATCTGTGAGAATCCCGCAGCGCACGCAGGATGCGAGGATGCAGGGACGGGCGACGCCGGCCTTGGCTGCATCCACCGCCGCAGCCGGACCGCACGCCCGCAGGGTCTGTCTCCAGAGCCAGCGCCCGCCGCCCCTCTTCGCCTCGTCGCTCGCCTCGATTCCTCTCGCTCCTCTTTGTCTCCTCGGTTTCTCCTCCTGTGCTCGCCTCCCTGCCCTCTCTGCCCTTTCTCTCCTCCCTCCTGCAGGCCGCCTCTGAGCGCACTTTTTCTGTAGGCCTTGTCTTCTCCCGGCGCCCCTGCGTCTGGGTTGGACACCCTAAGCCAAAATTCAAGGCGGAGAGAAGTGCCCAGGCTGAGGCGCAGCCTGGCGTCAGCGGCGCAGACCGCTTGGCCATCTCTCGCAGGTCGGTGCGCTGCGCGCTCAGCTTTGCCGGCCGGGCTGCCGCGCAGTCCTTGCCGAGGAGAACGGGTCCGGGCGGACATCGAGCCTCGAGCCGCGGGGAAAAGGAACGAACGAGTATTTGCTCCGTACCCTCCTGAAGTTGTTCAGAAGTCGCTCCCCAGGTCCCACTGGGCAGGATGGGGGGTTGGGCCCGAGCAGGAAGCCGGGCAGCCTCGCCGGGCGGCCTACGCCCGGGTTTACACCACATCCCGGCTCGGAGGGAGACTGCGTTTCCTTCGCTCGGCACGCCGGCGCCTCGGGCCCCTCCAGGCCGGGACAGCTGGCGAGGTTTTGCTTAAAAGATCGGGAAGGCTATTTTAGATCATATTTTAAACTAGATTCGTTAAGGAAAACGACTCACCGGGAAAACCGGTGAAGTACTGTGGCCTTGGAGTTTGCTAAAGCAAAACATGAAAATCTCTTGCAGGAAATTTGAAGTAGAATTCCTGTCTGTCAGGCCTGCAAAAAGCTGTCTTCAGAGAGGTAGGAGAATATGCTCAATAACAGATGGTCTCCTCTACAAATTCGGGGATTTTCCCCTTCCACCTATTAAAAAAAATCAAAAACAAATTTTCCCGGATCTTCCGATGCAAGCCCAGAGTGCCGGGAGATCACGGCCTGCCTGGCGGACGCTGCAGGGATGGCTCGTCCCTGCTTTTTGTTTTTCAAAGGTCTTGCTTCTCGCACCTTGGGCAGCGGTCCGACCTAACGGGCCAGTGAGCCGGCCAGCCCGGAATTCCCAGACCCGGTTGTTCTGTAGCGTGTCGTCCGGAGGACCAAATTTTCTAGAGAGAACTAGAGCACTTTGGTTGTTTTGTCAATTCCCGAATAAATTTCGTGTTCTTTCCCTTCACACGGATTTCTGTTATTTCCGTCGTGCCTGTTTGTTCAGCAGCTAGTTAAAAAGAGAAAACTTTTCCAAAAAATTTTATCCGTTTTCAGATAAACACACCAGGACGGCAGCCAGAGAGGGGGGCATTCGTGGTTGCTGCTGCTGCTTTACTTTGTCAGGGATTGTTTGTTTTCTCTGTCGTTGCCGGTGCGTTGCGGCTGCTGAACCTCATCAGAGACGTTACCGCGGTTGGTTCTCAAGGCGCGACTGTAGGAAGGATTTGCGGTGGTTTTTGCAACCAGGCGAGTTTGTATTTCACCCCTGACACAGTCGGACTTGGTGTGCGGGCTGTTTTCATTTATTGTCCTCAGCCTTTAAAGTTTTTCCAGTCAATTATAACGGCTAGAAAAGTTTATTCCAAGTAGATAAAAATCCTGTTTGTGAAAAATGCTCTGTAAGGTGAAAACTTCTGTTACCAACGCAACGAATGGCTTATTATTTTTCATAATAATAATTCACTCACCTTGAGCTGTGTAAGAGATTTGGGGGTATCAGAAAGGGGTGAACATACTGCGTGGTTGTAGAAATCTAATCTTTTTTCTTTCTTTTCCTTTACTGACACTCTTCAAATAAGGAGTTAAGACTGGTGCTTCAGTACTGCGGCTCAGGGAGACGGGCGTTTGACCCGGCTGCAGTCCGGGGCCCAGAGGCAGGACTAGGGGTGGTCCACCTTCAGTCCTCCCATCAGGCAACAGACATCAGCCCCCTCTCCTGCGGCTTGGGCTGGACCCCACGCCCAGCCAACTGTCCGACGCCGCTCCTTACTCTGAACCTTCTAACAGTGGCCACAGATCCAGGCAGACTAGTGGTCCCGAAGCAGCTGCACACCTCATAGGAAGCAAGCCTGTCCCTCCCACTTCAGCCTATACCGGTGGTCCCCCCGAGGGACTGTCAGGGTGGAATCCTTGTCAGAATAGTGGGGCCCAAGGGAAATCGGCTCAGCTCACAGCAGCCCCCTCCTCTCTCGCGCCTCCCTGGGAGGCTGGAAGACAGAGGATGAAGCCATGTAGGTTCTGAGGAGCATCACCCTGAGACAGGGATTGGAGCCTGCTCGGGCCAGGGGAGCTGGGAAGAACAGCCTAGAGAGAGAGGCTCGGCTCAGGTGGGAGGCCCGAGAGGCTGGTCAGGCCTGGTGTCTGGTCGCTTCTGGCAACCTGTTGCGCCTTTGTCTGGATGACTAAGGCGAGTTGCAGAAGAGAACGTGGACCGCTTCGTGCTTGTCTGTTTTTGCTTTCTGTGGTGTGAACATGTATCCCATGGGCAGTTGGGGAGTCTTCACTTGCTGCAAATGTGTGTGTACAGTGTAAGTCAGTATCCTCGTGACAGCGTGGGAGGTGTATATCTTTGGGCAGAGCGTATGGCTAGTACTCAGGAAGTGCTTACTGAAACCACAGCGTGTGTTGCATTCATAAGTCATTGGCAAGGTGTGCAGTCGTTCTGGGATATAAGTCTGGCTTTCTGAATAACAGAATACTTACAGAGCTTTTGCTTCAGCTGGTTGAAGGCTCTCTGTTCTAAGGCTGGCTCTCAGCACCTCCCAACTGCTATCCCAGCAGATAGAGCAGAGAAGGCAGAGCCCTCAGTGAGGTGGAGGAGATTGCCTAGGCCAGCGCTGGAGGACAGAACCTCTCTCTGCCCCCAATAACTGAAAGGCAAGAGGTACCCTAAGCTGTGGAGAGTGACAGCCTCACCCAGTACTGAAATTAAGGAGTCAGTGTGGGATTCCTGGTCTACACAGGGATTGGGAGGCGAGAGAAAGGAGCCAAATCCTACCCCACCTCCCCATGGATGCCACAGGAGGACATCTGTCTCTAATTCCAGCCCTAGGGGGTTCTTAAAACCCTATAGTTTCCTCATGTTCCCCCAGTGCTAAAAGTTCAGGACAATGGCTGACTTTCTTCATCTCTCCTCTCCCTCTTTGCACTTTTCAGTTTCTGTTAGAAAAGACTTAAGGTATTAAATCTTTTTGCCTTAAGTGAGGGCAAAAGTGTTCAAGAGTCCCTGGATGTAACAATTATGCCTTAGCTTATACAGTCTGGTCTAAATGACCAGACCCCATGGGTATATGTATATATGTTTGCCAAGATATACCATAAATACAATGTAAATAGAGTCTGATACAAATACCCTGCCAAATTCTGCATGCTGGACAATGAGTTGCTGTACATGGTATTGAATGAGGGGTATATGTGCTTGTACACATGTAACACCCTCACCACTGACAAGATGAGCCCCCTCCTCACATTTACACACCAATTCTTGGTCACCCCTGCCCCTAAGACTGACCAGCAATAATACTCGGGTTCTGTTGGGAGGGTGTCCTGTTTTCAGGGGGACCCTGGAGAAATCTTTGCCAGTGTAGTTAGTACATGCACCAAGGGACAATGGGGTGTGGATCTAGGGGATTCTCTGGGATGACCTGACAACCTTCTCCAGAGGGTATCCAGGGCATGCTTCCTCTTTGCATAAGTAAAGAGTTCACTGCCCTGAATGTCCAGTTTGGGTGGACATTAAGCCTGGCATGTTTCACTTGAGATTAGAGGCCCTTGGCCCTTGCCTGGGCCTCCCACTAGCAGAGGATGGAGCTCTGGGATGCAAGGAGCCCCCTGGTGGTAGGTGGAAATCGGGAGGATCAGGGCTTCTTGCAGCCAGTGGGGCAGGAGGGGATGGGCCAGACTCAAGAAACTAGGTCAGACCCAAGAAAGTCTGCCAGTGAATGAGTTTATTCCTTAATGGAGGCTTGGAGCACTGGAACCACTGGGCCAGGCTCAGGAGCCCTGCGGTGCCCCCATTCTGTGGATCTGAGCTAGTGGTGACCGTGCCTTGTCATTCCTGCTGCCCCCGTAGGGCAGCCCCTGGTTCTTGGAGTACCATGCGGCATCTATAGGAAGGGATGGAACCGGGCTCCCACACCTTCCTTGTGTGATAGGGACCAGAGGCATCGAGCAGTTGGGAGCAGACTTCATGTCCCCAGTTCTACCTTAGGGAAAACCAGAAATGAAGGCTTCTTGAAACCAAGCAGTCTTACCGATATTCTTTCTGGAGAGAAGGTGCCATTATGTCACACACACAAAAAAGTATCTGGGCCCCAGGAACCCAAAATTTCTTCATTCACGCCTAAGGAAACTGGGGTCCTGAGAAGAGGAGACAGCCAGAGGTCACCTAGCCATCTGCAGGGCAAACCGCCTCAGAACTGCTCAGGAGAGACCGGAGAGTGCTGTGCCCAGCTGCCCACTCGGGCACAGGCCCTGCCACCCAAAGTTAGTGGAGCTCAGTGGCTGAAGTGGAGCCAGTCAAAGGAGAAGGAAGAACAGGGGTGGGCAGGTTGTGCCCAGGAACCTCTGCAATGGCTGCTGCACAGTTCCAGATCCATAAGTTCTGATGAGATTGTTCTCGGACCACATCACCCCAGGGTTGTGGCCAGTGTGGGATAGGGCAAGGCCAGGGACCTGTTCAGCTGGAAAGAACTAGTATGGGACCCAGCAACACCTTGGGCAAAGCACCCCTGATGAGTTTTCGTTTTCTCATCTATAAAATACAACAAATTATAATACTGTGAGTCTTGTTACAATGATTACATGTTCTAATGTCAAAGTGCCTGGTTTATAGTAAGTGGGTTTTCCTTCCCCTATAAGAAGAATGGAGAAAGGAAGGAAGGAACCAAGGAAAGAAGTCAGACTGCAGGGTCTGACATTCTTACCCAGTGGCCACAGCCACTCCTTCGATCCCCAAGAGCCCAGACCACGGATGACCTTCCCAGGTCTGGCCCTAGGCAATTGCGTCCACCCTGGCCAGCCCCTTGACCTGGGAGTGAGGTACACCCGGGCGCCATCCTGGTGAATACCCCAGCCCGGGGCTCCTCCAACTGCCCTCTGCTTCTTCTAAGGGAGTCTTCATGCAGGAAGGCCTGGCTGACCTGCAAAGGGACACCGACCCAGGCCCTTGTGGGGGGCCACGATCCTGGGCTCGGGGGCTGCAGTCTCCCACCCTCGGGACCTACACCCCCGGGATGTGGGGCTGGTTAAACTCCCCTCTCCGCAGTACCCGCGCCTTTTCAGAAAAGCAGTAAGCTACCATGGGCGGGAAGTTTCGGAGGTCAACTGTGGGAAAGGCCACCCTCGGTCTTCGGGGAGAAACGGGAAACGTGAGGGGTAAACGCAGGAAGCGGGTTGGGCCGAGCTAGAGCGGGCAGAGGCGCCGCCCGAGGGTGGGAACCCGGCCGGTGTGCAGCTAGCGGCTTGGAAGCCGGGCCCTGGGCCAGGAGAACCGCCAGACGCAGGCGCAGCGGGCCTGTCGGCGGCGCTACAAGAGAAGGTGCTCCGGCGCGCACCGGGCGCCTCCCGGCAGCTCTCAACCAAATTCGGGGAGAATCGCTGTGTCCTGTCCAAGCACAGAGTGCTAATCCCTGTGGCGGGGCAGAGGGAGCGCGGGAGGCCACAGTCGTCCCCAGAGATGCCGAGCGCCAGGGCACAGAGGCCGTCCGCGTCCCCGCCACGCGGGAAGCCACCTCTGCCTCTCCCGGTTGGGAACTCAGCCCGACCTTGTTGTCCTTGGTAATACTGCTATTAAGCCGAGTAAAACAAAACCTTTCCCTGATTTTTCTCTCTGTACACAGGAAAATGACTTCTCTGGGTAGGCAAGGGGCAGGATCCCAGTGAACTCTCATCTCCAGGGGTAAAGAGAGAAGAGCAATGTGCCTTTTGCTTTGGCGTGTGTGTATCTGGCGCGGGGGGATGGGGTAGGGGGAGGAAATTCGACACATACTTTTAAAAATCTCTCCCCCAACAACGACTAAAGGCAGTGAGTGTGAGCAGAGAGTCAGGAAACCGAGCCCCTGCCCGCAGTGACGCGGGGCCTTTGTCTTCTTTCCTGAAGCCCCCACGACCGCTGACCGCGCCGAGATAAAGGCCAGGTCACAGCCCTGCGGGTTCCCGAGGGACTGGGCAGCGAGGCTGTCGCAG